CGGTTTTGCCTATTCCCATCACGTGCAGTTGCACTATTTTTAAAACTGCGGTCCCCGTCGGGGGTGCTGCCCTGTAGCCCGACTCGTAGCGGTTCAAAGGCGGGAGAGGGGAGGGAAAAGGAGACCCGTGGGGAGCCGGCTGGGGGCTGCGGGACGGGCAGGGCAGGGACAGGAGCCGGGCGCCCGGTCCTGCAGGAGCAGGAGCCCCAGCGCACCCCGCCTTCGCGGCGCTGCCAAGCAGCTGGAGTTGCTTTTTTGCTAGATCTGGCCAAATCTGTCCCCAGACTTTCACTCACTGAAGCCCAAACGGGTAAATAGTTGCCTCCACTGCATCACTGCACTCGCTGCTTGCTGTCTGGTGCAGCAACCACACTCCTGCCCTAAAATCCTTCTAAAACAGGACTCAGAATTTGAGGCCTTGAAATTCTGCCTCTGGCATATATGGTACCTGTTTCCAGGCTCCCCAGAGTAGCTGGTTGCAATTGTAAAATCTCTGATCAAGCACCTGCATCCATGTTATTTTTGGACTGTCACATTATGGTGTGCTTTTTTTCTCCATTCATGCTTGAAACGCTTGGATCCTGATACTTCCCTCCAAACCAGCACCATATACCCTGTATCTGGCTCCTTGAGCTACGGTCAGCTGGACACTGGGCCCCAAAATCACTCCTCTAACCAATGACAGAAATAGAAAACAAATGAAGTTGCTCCTGCTTGACTTGAAAAATCTCGATCTTGCTAAAGCTCTGTCCAGTAGCGTTGGAAATGCACCTGCTACTAATGTTCTGCTGGATTCTTGCAGGTTTTTTCCTCTAATACTGCAAATCGTCCTGGCAGGTATCCAGTGAGATACTTGAAAATTGGGAGCAGCTCCCAGTGCACAGAGGAACAAAAGCTGCCACAGTAGCTCTATAAATACACCCAACAAGTGGATGCTGCTTGGTCTTGCCTTTTTTCTCATTCCCAACAGCGTACTGTGGTTAGCTGGAAGAGCTAGCTTTGTAGAATTCACTGATTAGAAATAAAACATGATTTACAGATGGATTGTCAAGATGCAGTAAGGTTCTGGAGATAAAACCAATGTGGTTGGTTTTTTTTCTCGTTCTCTGTCTCAATGCTGCAATACCAGTGTGGTTTTGTTTTTCTTGGCAACGCTGAGGTGGCTGAATGTGCCCTCTGTTTAGACAGGGGACGTCAGGTGACAACAGTCAAAATGTGTCTGACGAAACCAGTTACCAGTTGCAGGATGAGACACTTTTCTCTTTTTCTTAATGCAGCGTAATTACGCTATGGCACAATGTAGTAAAAACATTTTTCTCTCCATTGCTTTCATGCATTGTCTTAAGCTACAGAACGAGCAAGTTGAAGCCAGGATTAGCAAATGTTGTGCCTGGAGCTTTGTTTGGTGTGTGCTTTTGGCTTGGTTTGGGGCTTGGGGGTGGGAGGGTGCAGATGTGCCGGAATGCATTGGGATTGTTTTGCTGCTCCAGAAGCAGAGAAACCTATTTGCTACTCTTACAATGACCTTTAAGAAAGCATGGCCAAAAAGTGGGTCCTGGCACTAGTTCTCAGTTACAGAGTAATTGCAGTGGGATGCATGAAGAGTCGGAATGTAATACTGCAGAAGCAGCGGCTTGTTTATTTTCTAAGTATGAGAATTTGAGGGCTTGACTTTAAAACTAGCTAGATCTGATAGAATCCAGGTTTTTAGCAAACTGGTATGTTGGGATATGTTGAACTCCTGGTGATAATGATGGCTGCGGAATTATAAGCAGTTACTCTTGTCTGTTTTTATGTGGTTTGGAAATTGAGGTCAAATTAGCAAAACACAGATAAATAAACATTCTGTTCTATTGCTCCTTGCTTTCCACCCCCACCACCATGTGCAGCAAATGGTCGGATGTGCTTTCTTTCAGAAGACAGCTTCGTTTCCTTAAAATATAATCCCACGTGCGTGATCAGTGGAACTGAAAAATAATAATCTTTCCATCACTGTAAAAGTTACCCATTTAATCCAATAGCATCCATGTGTATCTGCTGGGTATTAGATTTCTGTAAAGGTTGAAGTGTTTATTCACTCCTTTGTCTGTTTCACACACACACACAGACTAGAAAAAGTGCATTCTAGAATCCTAACTGGGAAGTGCCTATTTGGTACATCTTCTCAGCCAATAACTTCAGATCAACTTTAAATCTGAAATCTGGGTTAGAGGCCAATGGCAGAACAGGAATCGTTACAAAATAAATTAGCAAAATTGCCAGTGTACATTCCAATTGCTACATTCCAATCCCTAAGTGTGCTGTTAATCAGGAAGCAGGAGGAGCAAAGTCAGTAATTTCTGGAGATATTTTTGTCTTTTATGATAGCAAAAAATAACCTCATGCTACTGGTAAAACAGCTGTTTTTTTGTCTGCTTACAATTTAAGACTATTTAAGACTAATAACTCAAACACTTTCAGAGATTAAAAGCAGAAACACTACTTTCCTGCAAATGAACATTTGTAGCTCCCAGAAGAGGCAGCTGTCATGGAGGCCCTAGTCATTTCCTAAATCTTGGGCACTTGATTCTGTATGCCATGAAATTGGGCAGCAGCAGGAACAAGCCCTAGATTGGGCGTGTTTTTTAAAAACTTGATTGTTTCTATCAGTGTAGTTAAATGTCTCACGTAAGTAAATCCTCTTTGTTTTTCAGCTTGTCCAGGAGTTCAATACCCAAGTGGCTCTGTATCGGGAGCTGGTAATTTCTATTGGGGATGTCTCAGTCACCTGCCCATCTCTGCATGCGGAAATGCACAAAACTCGAACCCAAGGATGTGAGATGGCCTACCAGGCTCATCAAAAACTAGCAGCAATTTCTGGGTAGGAGTCTACTTACTTTCAGTTAAAGCTGTACTCATATGCACATCTTTGCTAAATACTACATTATGGAAACTTTCAGCAAAAGCATTAACTCGTGTTTCTGTTCCGGGCATAGAGATGTATGACCACAAATTCTACAGAATGCTCATATCCTTATGACAGTGCAATTTTGGGTCATATCCTGGTCCCCTTACCAAGACGGTATCCTGCTGATTTCACTGGATGCTTTTATGTAAGATGAACAGGATTTTACTCCGTATCACTAGGCAAAAAGATCAAGGAAGAAGCCTTGCCTTTCAAGGGTAAAATAGCAATAGCTTTCTGCCCAGCCCTTTATCGGGTATACCTGATTGAACAGGTAGAGTTCAGTTCATCTAGACACTTAAAAATTAGACTAAAAAATAATTAAGTGAAAATTACGTCAAGGGGTGGGAATGCAAATACTATTGTGAAAATTTGTGTTTACATTCTGTTTTCAAATCCTTATTTGTGTTGAAGTGAGGATTGAAGCTTTGCCAGCACATAACGTTTTCATTTATTCTTTGATAATACATTATGGATATTCCTTTCCATGGTGACAGGATGTATCACCACATACTTGAGACTATGCCTCAGTATGAGATGAAACAGGATAAATATCTGTGTCTTACAAAATGGGAATTCACGCTACTTACAAAAAGTCTAGTTATTTGTGGGTTCTTCACAGCATGGTGACAGGGGCATTTTTATTAGCCCATCTAGCTCTCGAGCTGTGTCTCTCTCTCACTACACTTTGTCAGAACTTTCTGCGCCTGCCTTACCCACTATAAACCATTGTGTACAACTTGGAAAAAACTTAGCTTTTTTGCAGCTCTGCCTAATCCCTGTTGAAGTTCTTTCATCACTTCAACGTATATGAGAAATCTGCTGTAGGTTTAGTATATAAAGGAAGACCACACTAACTAAACAGAGGAAAACACTGGTTGGTCATTTTAGTAGAACTGTCAACATGTTTAAATGTGATTTTGTGCAAAGACACTTAAAGTTGATCTTGCAACCTCTGATTTGTTCCTCAAACAAAATGCATGTTTTTAAGTTACTAACGTCTGTGAGAATTAAAAAAAAACCCCAACCAACCAAAAGATACATTTCTCTTTAACCATTGTACGCTCCCTCAGCACGGTAGCACTGGAAACGTGGAAGCAAACCGTAGTGAAATTGATCTTGTGCGCTTTCAGACTCAAAAGAGAGACTAATAGCAGAACCAAAATAATACATCTGAATAGCAGAACCTTACTTGGATTTTTTTAATCTTTTTTTTTTCTCTCCCATAAAGAAAACCATCAATACATGCTCATTTAGAAGTATGGAGTTTTTTTACGTAGTCATTTCACAGTTGGGAGTCTGTCATATACACAAAGATGTCCTGAAGGTTGTGCAGTTGCTGCGAGATTGACATTTAGCTAATCTAAAACTGTTTTAAATAACTGTGATAATAATGTGATATCCATAACAACTGGTAGGTGTTAGAAACCCTCTGGAAATTACTTGTTTGGTTTGACAGACATTTTACAAGATGTGCTTCTCATCCCCGCCCTCCTACAGCTGAGGAAAGCCATATGAGCCAACTGAACTTGTTTGGTTTATCTGTGAGGAAAGATGGGAGATGCAGCAAGGATTCAGTGTAGAAAAGAAATAGCATATGGCATACGATCTGGAATGGGAAACTGGTTTGGTAGGAGGAAAAAGTAGCAGGAAGAAAAATACATAGGGACAGGAATGTATTAAATCATCCTTAATATTAAATAGTCGGGAGAGTAGTGTATTGCTCAGAAACCACTGGTAATCAGCAGGTGGGACAAAGTCTCACTTAGTTCACTGCTTTAGTTCAAAATGCACAGCACTGCACTGCGCGAACTCCTGGGTAACACAATCAGTTCTGTCTTCCAAAGCTTGTTAAAGAAAGCTTATTGCTTTCCCACACAGAGAGAATAATAGCAATTAGCTAATTATGTTAGTAGACTATAAAATTTCATTACGTATTAGCATTCTATTAGTTAAGGTCATCGGTAAAGTTCAGTTAGTCTCTAAGTGACCTGAGCTGTTGCAGGGCACTCTATGAGTTTCTTTCAAGAAGTTGACATCATCTTTGAGGACAACACTGAGTTCATTAATCTTGTTTGTGCTGATGTCTTCCTTGGAAAATTAGCAGACAGCTTCATTTTATGCATCCTGTTTGAATACATCAATATTTGAGGCTCTTAAATGCACTCTTGATTCAGGCAGCTGGAAGAGGCACCTATTTCCCCTCCTAACTCACCAGTTCTACAAGATTAGGGAAGGTAACAAAGAGGAAAGGTGCAAAGACTTGGAAGGAAAGAAACAGGGACAGATCCACTACTGCTGAGAAAGGCACCTCTGGAAGAAGATTTGGGAATTGTGGGAAGGGAAAGAAACACTGAAGTGGAGGTAGTGCATTAGAAACTGAACAGGATAGAAGTCATGAGGAGGAAAAAACTGATCATGGGCATATCCGTTCTGGCAGATGAGGTGGACATCAGAGTAAGGCAGTGGGGTAATATGAACAAGAAGAGAGGACTGCAGTTGTAGCTATAGACAAAGTACACACTGATATGCTATCAAAAGGAGATTCAGTTAGGGAAATGGAGAGAGTGAAAGCCACACTTAAGTTTTAAAAACTGAGAGAAAGAAAAACAAAGGAGCTGATGACAAGGAAGTAGCGAAGAAACATAAAACCTTGTGAAGTCTGCACTGGATTAGACCATATCACCCCATCTAGTTCAAATCTGACAGCTGCCAGTAGCAGAGATTTCATAAAAACGCATATAAAAACAGGCTGTGCATAAAATGATGCCTTCCCTCATATACTTGCCACTCCCAGCAGTTAGTGGTTTACGGGTTTCCTGAGCCAAAGGCTGCACGTGAACAATTTGTATCTGACAAATACGAGTTCTCACAGAAGATTTCAGGATTTGTCTAAATATGAGTCTTTTACTCAGAAAATGTCAAGGATGAATAATGACATCTTTACATTGTGGTGTGCTTAAAAATGTTACAAAGGAATTTACAAAAAAAATATATATTATTGAGAAAGGAATTTTCAAATTGGATCCCCAACTTATTAGGGTCTTGTGGCTATTACATCCGCTTCTTAACTTGCTGTCTTAGGCATTTTCCTTGTAGAAATAGGTGGAATTTTATCAAAGAAGAGATGCACGTCTGAGTTTACCGGTACTGTCATGGCTTTCAGGGAGTAAAGATTAGAAACAAAAATAATTTGGATTAAAATATCCTAGTTCTAGTTGATGATCTTTTGGAATGCAAGTCGAAGTACATTCTTCTTTTAGTGTTGGTTTTCTCAGGACTTCAAGTCAATTCCTGCTCACCGCACTAGTACTAAAAATTCTTAGTGATTTTTAATGAACTATCTTCTGAAGGAATTGAGTAAGGTTTGGTCCTTTCATTACATTTTCTGTTGTATTAATGTATCAGAAGTTAAATATCTCAAATTAATTACACTGTGCACCCTTGCAGTATCAGATGGCATGGTCAAAACTGAAGAAAGTAAAGCAGTGAGCAAATGAGTCAGCATGACTTTTTTTCCAAAAGAAAAGAAAGGAAAAATACTTGTAGCAACAGGCAGATGGGGAAAAAAGGTGCAAATCTCTTGTTTTGAAGGGGGTCTGCTTTATAAGATGATAAAAACGGGTTATGTTTTAGAAGTCATCAAATAGAAAGCCAGCTTTATAGATGAAGTACACTTAACTCTGGGATGTAAACAGAAAGATAACTGGGAACTGTATTTTAAGATACAGGTCTGCACAACTGTGTGCACAGTTTTGTAAACGTCCCTTTCATATTCTCAAGCACTTGATATGCTTACGTAATGCAAGTACTTCTGTGTGCACTTGGCACGCTGAAACCAGAACTGGCAGCGTCTCTGTGACAGTCTGATATATATGTTGACAGTGGCTTTTTCTTGCATGAAATGAAATTGTGCAAGGAGATCAGGGGTGCATGGCAATGTACATCTGCGTGAACATAGCTTTGAAAGTGATTGTCCTCTGTTGTTCAGACTGTTGTTTCAAAGCCCTGAATCTAAGGAGGAATAAACCTGTACATCAGTACAGGCTTGGGGCCAACCACCTAGAAAGAGGCTTTGCAGAAAAGGACCTGGGGGGTTCTGGTGAACACCAAGTCAAACACGAGCCAGCACAGTGGCCTTGTGGCAAAGAGGTCCAACAGCCTCCTATGCTATATTAGGAAGTGTTGCCAGCAGGTTTAGGGAGTTGGTCCTTCCCTTCTACTCAGCACTGTTGAGGCTGCAGTACTGTGTCCAGTTCTGGACTCCCCAGTAGAAAAGGGAAAGGGACACACCAGAGCACTGGCCATGAAGATGATTAAGAGCATGCAACGTCTGACATACTAGGAGAGGCTGACAGACCTGGGGTTGTTTGGCTTGGGGAAGAGAAGGGTTGGAAGGGGATCTTACCAATGTGTATAAAAAACACCTGATGGGGTAGTGTAAAGAAGACACAGCCAGACTCTTCTCAGTGGTATCAAGTGATAGGACAGCAGGCACAAATTGCAATACAGAAGTTTTTATTTAAACATTTTTAAAACCCCTTTTTTACTGCGAGGTTGGTAGGATATTGGAACAAGTGCCCCAAGAGGGTGTGGAGTCTCCGTCCTTGGAGACACTCATAACTCAGCTGGACACAGTCCTTAGTGACCTACTCTAGCTGACACTGCTTTGAGCAGGAGGGTTGGACTAGATTAGTTCTAGGTGTCCCAGCCTGTGACAAAAGCCGCTGTACATTTTCTCATTGGGAAAATTCCAAGATAAACATTTCTTATCTGACAGTGAGGTGCATCTGTTTTCTAAAACAGTTGTTAATGTAACTTCTCCTAAGTTCAAGAAAAGTTGAGGAAGTAGACCTAAAAATCACATCTTGGTTGCGTTCCCATCTTTATTGCCATGCAGAAAATTTTTACCATAG